GTGTATGCAATTACAATAACAAATCTTAAGCCAATAAAGGCGTTCCAGAACTGATGTTTTAAATTAAATCCAACAAGAAGCAGCTTTAATGTGGTAAACTGATTTGTGAACATGTATACAACTTTCACATGTGTCTTATGAGTTATGGAAAGATAAATTTCAAAGATAAAATATGGAGTTAGACATTGTGATATGTATATTTTACTACTGCAATGCTTGATCAGCCTCTCTTTTTTATAACATTGCAAAAAATGACCACTCTTGTCTTTGCTATAATGCAGAATTTTTGCTTTCACAATACTAATATGCCCTCACAAACCATCATGCAGAATAGGTTTGAGTGTCTTAAAGAGGAATTATTGAGGATAAAAAGATTAAATGTACATTGATATTTACAGAAGCCACTTATAAAGATCGCCTCAATGTCCCAAATCTACTACTTTGCAAGTATTGAATAACTTATCCCTCATAGAGTCGCAGACCAGCCAACCAGGAGCATAAAGAAAAAGTCATGCAAAAACATCAAAGTTAAGACAAATAAGTACGTGAGTACATTCCTTGGCCGGCATAGTTTTTGTTCAGTTGAAATGTTCTCAAAATTCTGAGCACGAGAAGGAAACTAAAGGTTTCATATTGTTCGAAATTCTGAGCATGAGAAAAGATATGAATTGAATCTTCTTACTTCTAGAAACAAAACCACTATAAATAATGTCCGAACGAAGACTGGCATACATGTATACACTGACAACTAGAATAAATGACATAATATTGCATACATCCATGGCAATGGGAATTGTAATTACTCAATATTCTTAATGTGTTGATCTATAAAGTTCAAAATCCAACCTTATATGAAGACAAGAGGGTTGATTCATAAAACCGCAATTTCTTTACAGCTTTTGACAGTTTCATTTCCTTCTCTTTTTCCGTTGGCAATCTGATGCGGAAGCTGCATAATAACATATTATCATCATCAGCATCATCAAATATCAAAATAAAAAAAGAGAGAAGAATAATAAACTCTTTTATCAGGCTGAGAAGAGATAAATCAGTTAATCATTTATGGAGAATCAACTTCATGAAAAAATATCAAATCCTACCCAGGAATAATGTCTCTGAAAATAGCAAACAAAGATTTGAGTCCAAGTATGAGTATCTCGTGATCTCCATGATTACAAATTTGAATTATCTCCTTGAGAGATTTGATGTTTGCTTCTGGATCCATGAGCAAGGCTGTACCTAGCTCTGCTAGTTTATACTTCTTTCTCTCATTGTCTTCTTCAAGTGTCAAATCTTTTCTAACCTCATCCTATAAACCATAGAAGAACAACATGAAGGTATTATATGGATACATGCACTAATGTGTTTAGTGTATGCACATTTATACTTTCAGAAGTGACAAATTAATAAGGTGTCATTTTCACCATGTACATTGATGCGACTATTACATGCTATTTAATTCCAAAAATTTGGTTCGGTCATTCTATCAACTCTATCCTAAAATATCAATGTGCTTTTAATTGCAAGTCTAACAAAAATATCAGTCTTGCTGGTGTTGAAAGGTGCAGTGAAGTATAAAACCTAATTAACTGTCTAAATGTTGCATACCAGCACTTCAGCTTGAGGTGTATGCAGTTGCTCCAGATTAACTCCTTCCTTTAGTTGTTTCTTTGCCTCTTTTTTCATTTTCTTAAACTTTGCACGCTTCTCAGCCTTGCTCAATTTCACCATATTTCCATCAGCATTTTCACCATCAGCTGCAGCTTCACTATCATGTTCGCTTTCTTCATTTTTTGAATCCATTGGGACTGCAAATTATTAAAAAAATGAATACTTTGTGACCCATTTGATGGTATAAAAAAGCATTATGTAATTGGTGTCTATGATGTCTAGAGATGCAGTTTAAGTACATGTTCTGTAATAAAGATCCCCATCTAAAGTCTTCACGGGAAGTGCATCCACAGGATCAACTTCAATAGTTTTTCCTTTCTTTTCTTCCTCGCGTGGTCTTTTTCTTGGTCTCTTTTCATATAAATCTTCAACTGCATCCTCTTTCAGATCAGCAACGCGAGTAACATGCCTTTCCGAATAGGACGGATATGATTTAAAAAATCCAGAAGCTTATAAATATTAGCAAGCATGTAAAAGTTAGGTGCATGTGAATAAAGCATAAACAAATGGCAAAATATAATGAAAATCCCACTGATCATTTAGCATGATTCTAAAGGAAGCTGACGCATACATCTCATATCAAAAACTACATGCATTCATATCAATCTCCAGCCCTCAAATTTAAACATTAAGAAAAGACCAATTCACAAGTACTATAAACAATCTTCAAATATCATTGCGAAAACGAGAGCCAGCGAGAGAAAGTATAATCCGTACTTGTTGATAGATTTCGTGTCCAGGTTCTTCAGCAGAGCGGCATATTCTCGATTTTGGCGAACGAAATTGATATCATCATCCGAAATTTCGACTTCATCGTCTGGAACTTCCGGGGGAAGCTCCGGCGGGAGCACTATCTTCTGTCTCTTCTTCCCCATTGAGATTTTTGCACCGGAGCTTTCAGGTAGCGGCGAGATATGCCCCAACTGCGCAGTTGCTTTTGTTTTGGAAGAGCCAGACGGCAGGTTATGGTGGACTAGATTGATGGGCTTCTTTTGTTTTGGAAGACGGACTACGAAGCCCACCCAAGAAATTTCAAAACTTTTTAGTAGTCCCTTCCTCCAGAAAATAATTAGTTACGGGAGACGTGAGTTTTGTTGAAATAAATCTCAAGTCCCTCAATTTAAGAAGACAACGGAGATCTTTACATTTTGTTATAATGACTGAGAGGAAACATTTCATCTAATATTTCATCCATAAACATTAATAAATGTATTTTTTCTAGTTTTTCCTTGATATTTTATGGTAATAACTTTTAGGCCGTTCTTTTTTATTTCTTTTATAACTCTTATGGTAATAAGAAAAAATTCATTTATCAACGCTTATAGATAAATTATTAGATGAAATGTTCCCTCCCAGCCATTACAAAAAAAATGTAAGGACATTTGTTGTCTTCTTGAAAATAGAGACCTAAGAGTTATTTCGAGAAAACTTACGCCATTCGTAAGTAATTTTCTGCCCTTCCTCTTATATCTTTTTTCTTATTTTGATTTTTATAATCAAATTTTTAAACTTGCTCGCATATTAAAGACATTGAATTATAATACTACCTCCGTCCCGCTATATTCGTCCATTTTTTACTTTTGAAACTGTTCATCTAAACACTTTGACTCATCAAAGTCTCTCAATGTGTAAGCCTAAATATAGTCATGTGTGATCTTGTTTGATTTGTCTTAAGATATAGATTATTAATATATAATTTCTATAATTTTTTATTATACAAATTACAAGATAAAATGGATTAAAGAAATGTATTGAATGGTGTGTAAAAATGAAAGTGGACAAATACTCTGGGACGGAGGGAATATAAATTTAACATTAATAGTTCATTTTAAGATATAGTTATGAAATATCATATTTTCATAATTTAATCTTTTACATAAAGAAATACGGAGTATATCAATAGTAAATGTGTTTTACTAGGCATTAGAGATCGTGAAAAGTCAATTAAGATGAAAAAAATAGAACAAATGGTGTAAAGTTTAAGTATATACTACCTCCGTCCCAGAGTATTTGTCCACTTTCATTTTTACATGTCATCCAATACATTTCTTTAATCCATTTTATCTTGTAATTTGTATATTAAAAAATTATAGAAATTATATATTAATAATCTATATGTTAAGACAAATCAAACAAAATCACACATGACTATATTTAGGCACACATTGAGAGAATTTAATCAGTCAAAATACTTAGATGAACATTTTCAAAAGTCAAAACTGGACGAATACTTCGGGACGGAGAGAGTACTTTATTTGATATCTTTTGATATCACAACCCTTTTAAATATATATGTTTTGATATAGGAGCATGCTACATGTACCCCAAAATTTGTACTTCATTTGTACATCAAAGGCATGCACCAAGATTTTGATGGTTCACACTCGCATAAAGTGTTGGTGCGTTAACAAAAATTTATACTAATACAAAGTATTGGTGCGTTAACAAAAATTAGCATTACACCAACACAAAATGTTGGTGTATCCCTGCGGTGTACAAAATGGAGTACAAATTCTTGGGGTACAAATAACATTATTCTTTGAAATATCCTAAATTTTAAAGATATCAATCTCGACTTTGATATCTTTCGTTAAGATCTCAGCAGCTAAGTACTTATTTATTTTAAAGCTACTTATAAGCTAAGAAAATACGTAAATCTTACATACTTATTTTTATCCATTTTTTTCATTTTTTCATCTTGACCAGAATATTTACAAAACCTATCGCTTATCTATTATGAATATCCCCAAATCACTTATGACCTTGTTTGGATGTTGGCAGTCGGCTGTTGGTTGTTGGCAGTTCATGCTAGCTGTTGTGAATGACTGTTTAGTTTAGCTGGTTTGACCGACATGATGAGTTGATTGATCGTTAAAAATGTTTGGTAAAATCAGCTGTTTGAAAATAGTTGTTCCAATATACATACATACATGTACACACACACACATATATATTGAATTTTTATATTTATTTTTATTTTTTTTACATATATTATAGAATATCTTTCAAGAAAAATGATTTTTAAAAAATGAATTTTCCTAAAAGCCAAGTCCAAAACCTACTCATCTTGGTTTTTCAGATTTTTTGCTTTTCGAATCTAAATGCCAAGTGAAAAAGTAATTAGTCAAACAATGATTTTAGCTGTTTGCTTAGTCAAAAAAGCCAAAATCAATCAAAAAAGCCAAAAACTATCCAAAAAGTTATTTTCCAAACACTACTATATCTCATTCAAGTGATTTACGGAGTAATTTACACGAAATTTCTTTTAACTTGTAAACAAGTTATTCCAAATTAAACCTGTTACCATACACCCACATTGTAAGTGCCGTCTCTATTGTGTTGATAATAACAAGAAAGCCACGTGCCAATGGTGCCATGTACTACTCCGAATCTATCATCCTGACCCGGCCCGGCACCCGGGGTCTCCGTCAGAGCTCCCACTCTACGAACCACCAGAACCCCAGGCGCGCCCTCCTTGCACAATCAAATCCCAACTGCCGGTATGCCGGCGGCCGATCAGGTACCGGACGGCAATTCAGCGGCGGACTCATCTCAAGGACTCTGCACGTGCACGCTATCTTCAGCAGCCGAAGAATGCGACGGCACTTGCCTGCTTTGCAATCGCCGGCGCTCAACCCTCCTCCCTTCGTCGGCTTCCTCTTGCTCTCTGCTCAGCTTAGAGTCTTATCCTGTTCAGGACTACAACAAGCTCTGGAGAGTGTACTCCGCCTCCGTTAAAGGCCTCACCATCGGAGCTGGCATCAAAGGCGGCCTCGCTTTATTCTCTATTCTTGCTCGCCTCCGCCGCAGGCGATCATTTTCTTACGATAAGTAAATTTTGTCTACTTAAAACGCCTGATTTCTTCTGTATATGTGTATTTTTTGCAAGCCGATGTGTTTTGATGCTTATTTGTTGCTCTGTTAAGGAAAATGGTCATGTCTTCCGGCAGCGAAGATGTGATTTTGGCAGTGAAAGAGACTCTTAGATACGGTCTGTTTCTCGGAACGTTTGCTGGTACATTTGTTTCAGTGGATGAAATTATTTCTTCTCTAGGCGGTCACCGCAGGTAGGGCTTGTTTTTTAGTCTTGAGGAGTTTAATTCATGGAAATATTGAGACTATTTTGTTAATCAGTTGGTGGAATCACATATAACTATTTCAGGACAGCGAAATGGAGAGCTTTGCTAGCTGGAGCAATAGCAGGCCCTTCAATACTACTTACTGGATTGGAGAACCAACATACAAGTTTGGGAATTTACATTCTTATGCGGGCAGCAGTTTTGGCATCGCGCTGTGGAATAAAAAGTGAGCGATTCGGGCGCATCTGTAAACCACTAACTTGGGCACATGGGGACCTTTTTCTAATGTGTCTTTCCTCTTCCCAAATTTTGTAAGCATCTTTCACAGCCCTATAATATTGTTTTTCTGGCTCGCTTCTTTTGAGTTTGACTCCATTAGGTTCCTTCAGAAATTCAATGGTTAAAATGGCTAAATACTTTAGCAAGTATGTTTTTGTGAGTATGTGACTGTTGTTAATGCACAAACTGGATATTTTTCAAACACAGTTATGCCATGAAGTTGTATTTTTAGTACATAAAGTGTTTAATTTAAGCACATCTTCACACTTATTTCAAAGCTTTCATAAAGCACCTATGCTCTAGCTTTGAAAATGAATGCTCTCTTATGGCCTAGAGAACAATAGCCCTTACTATACGACATTCTTCAAGACTCTTCATGCAAATGAGCTTTTACTCATTTTTACATGTGACAACATACTAAATCATATCTGGAAACACAGCGGAACATGGACTTAATGCATTGGTGCATCACATGATCAACTTTACACTTTTCTACTCTCTTTTAGGAAATAGAGAAAGTGGACTTAATGTGGACAACTTTAATTCTCTCTCTTCCAAATGATTTCCAACCACATATTTTTCACTTTTCACTTAGCATCAATCACTTTTCAACTTTTTTCTTAAACTTCGTGAAGTCAAAGTGTAAAGTTCTTCTAAAGACCGAGTGAGTATATTTTTATGGAACAGTACAAACAAGGTCAACTCATCTTGACCCATTACCCATTTTTCAAGAATGAAGTCCACCACTTCCATTGATATAGTGATAGTGATATTGATAAGGCCTAGTACTTTTAGATGTGTTTGGATGTCTTGTTCTATTCTGCATTTTTGTGAGCAAAGATCTAAATTTTCTATGAAATCACTATATTTCAGATCAGCGTATATATTAAAGCAAAACAGTCTGCCTCTATCTTACAAGTCCTTTCTCAATAAACATGGGGGAAAAGACCTTGTCATATTGAATGGCGTGAAAGACCTTGCATGTGGCAGGCCAGTAAAAAATTTGCATGCGATAGAGAGGTATTACAAGTCTACTGGTATAGACCTCAAACTTGATCCACATATGAAAGTTCCTTGCACGGTATGCATGAACAATTCAAATTTACTGATTAATTGATTTGAAGATGTCTCGGTTTTTAGTGAATCATGAAATTATACTTTTGTGGTCATATTATTTCTTTCTCTTTTTCAATACTTTAGAAGACTAAGGGTTGCCTGTCACATACTCACATCCTTTTTATATGTTGAAGATATCCCCTTTTAAAGAAATGCTTTCCATGCCATCATGAAAATTGAAAAGTGCTTCCATGATACTAGACCATCCTATTTTATATAGATAATTAAGATAGGTTTACTATCTTTTTAGTGTCATAACTTTTGCTAAAAGAGCATACGAGCTAGCTATAGTGCCTAAGGGTTCTCAGACCTCAAAATGAACTCTGATTTTAGAAGTAGTTGTAACAGATCTCTATTGATTTGCTCTTCTTCCTTGTGAACGTAGGCTCATACAAGTGTGTTATTCTAAGATATATATTTTTTCTTACTAATACCTTATGCATTGCATTTATTTAGGTTACTATTTTATCTTTAGGCACCTAATAACATATCCTTTACAAGAGTAATTCTACTTTGGCATCACCAATGACACCATTGACATACAAAGACGGTCACACACACACACAATTGAGAGACTGGTGGTGCCAAACCTGGAGTCATGGGTGGTGTCACTATAGCAGAATTGTCTTTATAAACTTTCTCTGCTATCAACTTGTGTAGCTGTGTGCTTGTGTTAGTTAGTTCGGCTGGCAACTGCTTTTTGACAACATGCATGGTGATGGTTCTCTAAGTTTGAACTATTATGCTAGCACACTCCATCTCGAGTCATGCCAATACCCAGCTACTGGTCTCATATGTGCATTGCAGATTTGTGAGAAAATCTCATATTTACGCAGATGGTCCATGGAGATCAATCATGTGGGGCACATTTTTTAACCTTCCTTATTCAAGCATATAAGAGAGCTCTGCCTGTCTACCTACCAGTTTATTTGATACCTGCTCTGATAGTGCATCGACAAGGCCTCTTGAAAAGGTGATTTCTGTGAATTTCTTATCAGTTAGTGATTATCCATTTTCCCCTAGTTTGTCTTTTATTATTTTGACCTTGTTGCGGCACTTGTGCGTTGTCTATCCAAAGTTTGCTCTGTAAATGGATTTTTTGCTGGCTAATCGGTTCGTTTATGTCGCTTGCTTATCATGATATATCTGAGCATGAGTATGGCCAATGTCAAGCTGTTCAAGTAATAGTCTTGCTGTTGATAAGAGTTATTATTTGCATTATTTGTCGGTAATATGAAAGCTGATGTAAATTGAAATCATTCTATAAGGTAAGCCTTAACTGGAAACAACTTTATTGTGGCTAATGGTACATTTGTGCCTTTTGCTCTCTTTTATGTTGAATGTGAAAAAATTGTTCAACCAATAAGAAAAATGCCTCTTTCATATCTTATATGGTATTTATCACTGTGATATGCATGGTCATCTGTAGAATCTCCAAGTTTCTTCAAAATGAACTTTTCTGCTATAACCTTCTTTCATTGTTTATGTTGTTTTCTTTGTGTTCATATTCATGCAGACCTTATACAATATTGTGGAAAGGTATTTTTGGGACAGCAAGATCTAGTTTGTTTCTTTCCATGTATTGTGCATCTGCCTGGTAAGTGATTTAACAAGCTATGCCCTAGTATTACCCTCTTTTTACTCAGTTGTTCACTTCTAGACTCACTGTTTTTTTTCTTTTTGAGCAAAATGTTTCTCCAAAAACACACTTATCAACTTATTTGAAACTTTCGTATGATTATGGATACAGTCAAATAGTCCGTAGCTGTATACTTGTTGGTGAAGTGTAAGTGTACAATTGCTAAAATCATTAATCCAACATATATATTTCAATTTTATTGGTTTGTTCATCTAAAACTTTCACATGCATACACTACTTGCCGATGACTCCCTCGAAAAATTTCATGAAAAACCAGTTTTATTTCATCAGGCAATAGTGTTCTTTTGGGTTAAGAAAAGCATTTGAAACATGAGTACTTGACTACACTTTGGGAAGGTTGTAGTGTTTGTAATATACTCTCCCCCCGTCCTAAAATTAATTTCTGAAATTAATTTCTGAAGGTGACTTGACAGTTGACACACATATTAAGAAAATAAAAGTATGTGATTGTGGTTGATTTAGAATTCATGGACCACACAAAGCTTTCCATAAAAGGCAATTGGAAGATTTTTTTTAGGACAATCCAACAAGTGAGAAGAAAATTTTGATGAAAAATCCAAAAAGGGAGTGTGTGATATTAGACTTCTCTTTGTTGTTATGTAACCCAAGTTAATGCCTAAACTAAGATCAATGAACACCATTGACTTTTAAAGACCATGCTTCGAGAAATGTTATATAAGGTGTGATCTTTTCCTCCATTCCACTCACATGCATTGTGAAATTATCAAAAAAATATATATGGAGTATATCTTTTTTAACAATAAGATTCATTGTTATTGTCTCTTCTTAGGTTATGGACTTGCATCCTTTTTAGGATTTTCAAGAGATGTAATATACCTACGGTGGCAGTTGGCACGGTATTTTTTTGTTATTAAGGCCCTTTGTAAATCTTCAACACTACATCATCATCATCATCATCATCATCATCATCACTATCATCATCACTATCAGTATTGGTGTTATTGGGCAGTTTCCGACTGGGTTGGCCTTGGGGATAGAGAAGAAGAGCAGGCGGATAGAGATATCACTGTATTGCCTGGCACGTGCTATTGAGAGCTTCTTCACAACAATGGCTGACGTTGGATGCTTGCCCCAAAGAATGAAAAACATGAAGAGAGTGGACATGGTAATATTTAGCATTTCAACTGCAATTATAATGCACTGCTATGCCACGGAACGAGACGTCTTCAAATCCAAATACTTGAATGTTCTTGATTGGGTGTTTGGGGTGCCTCTTCCTCCGTGGGAGACCACTCCTCGAAGGAAGAAGTTCCCGTGAAGCGGATACTCCATTAGAAATTTATAACCGTTGTTATTTATGTGCACCACTTATTGTATACCAAGCTGTGCACACCACATATAGACACTTTTTTTTGTTCGCGGAGATAAATGTTGTCTCTGGAACAAAAAAAAATGTCTTTGTACATTGTACACATTGGTATACAAAAAAGTTCACAGAAAAGCTCTGTTATGTCTTGGCTTGTAGCATTCATTGCTTCAAACAAGTTGTGTGATAACAGTACTAATATGTTTTTCCAAAACAGGTGTAGAATGCACCATAAATAGTTAGTTTTACAACATCAATTCTTTCAATTTATTTCCTTTTTACATGCAGAAACAAATTCAATATCAAATCCAATTATCCCGTTGTAAAAATGTATTCCTGGCTGTTGTTTCTTAACTTTAACATTGAATGTGGTTGAATTTTATCTTTAGGACCTTGTTTTTTCACCATGCTTTTATCTGGGGTATGGTAACTTGAAATTATATTTGGGTTGCAATAACAATTTTAACTAAAACAGAGTGAAATTTAAACAATGGAGTGAGTAACATGTTCTCTTCTTTAATAAATTAGTAAAATACTTAGTAATTTATTTTAAGGAAGCAAAGAAAAAAAGAATGCATAAAAACAGCCCCCATGTCACAATTAACGCGGAATGCATGATTGGAATCACTGCAATTCACAAGGGGTCCATGAGAGAAACAAAAAGGCCCACTTCCCATTAAAGGCCAAATCCAAACAGTCATATAAGGCTCCATCATCATCTATCCCCCACTCAATAAAGCTTTCCCCATGGTGCCTCTTCCCCATTCCCAAAGGTTACACCATTTTTGATTCTATAACGACTGGCCAATAGATAACAATTGTCTGTAAAAAAAATTTCATCTCTATGAGTAATTATGATATTGTGTCACTATAATTTCAAATGTGGTGTCAAAATTGTTGTTGCTTTGGTATCAAAGTGATGTTAGTGGTAAAATGTGGAGTTTCTTAACTTTTTTTCCTTTGGAAAAATATTAGGATGCACCCAAAAAGTTTCTATCTGGGGTGCACTCATATATCATCTTGTCCGAAACATTAGTGCAATTCTGATAACAACCATTTGGTGCACACATGATAGCAACCATTTGGAGGACTAGTTCCTTCTTCTCCTCCCCTCCTCACCTTTACCACCTTAGCTTAGCTTAGCACCTCTCTCGTAAAGAACTCAATCCTACAGACCAGTTTTCAGAATCAGATTCAATCCAAAGGAAAGCGTGCGAGATGATGGTTCCCCACAAAAGATCAAGACTGCCTTTCTGGCTCTTTATTAGACAACAGCTCATTGATTTGTGAGTTTCCAATTGCAAATGTCTTGTTAATTAATTAATACAGTGGCAATGATTCAAGAAAGTCGCATTCTTTTAGGTTTAAGAGTCACTTCCGCCTCTGTAAAAGAATTCTGAATTCAAGAAAATAAAGTTTGGGCTTTTCTTTAAACTGCGGAATTAATAATTTGAGGCTCCAGTTTTTTAAAAAAAAACATGAAAAAGGGGGACTTGTGGCTGCAGTTTGCCCCAGCATTTTCCTTCTTGCTACCCCATAGTCCCACAGTGTTTTAGTTTAAAGATCAGTTCCACCTCTGTAAAAGAATTCAAGAAAATAAAAAAATTGATTTTTTAACTGCGAAATTTAAAATTTTGAGGCTCCAATTTAAAAGGTACTGGAAAAAGGGGGACTTGTGGCTGAAATTTGCCCTAGCATTTTCCTTCTTTGCTACCCCACAGCCCCACAGTGTTATGTTGTTAGCCAACAACCCCATTTCTCTCCTACAGGTCTTGTGTGCTAATAATTTCAAGATATTAAAATTCATCCAATAATTGGGAGAGTAAAATAAACCTTGTATACTCTATTTTCTTTCTTTTCTTCTTTTGGAAAATATTTCATTGTATTTTTACATTTTTTTCTTTTTTTAGGAAATAAATAATCATTAATGTTCCGTACTATATTCACAGGGTGTTGTGTTGTGCAGTTGTAGTATACGGAGTAATAGAATTGACAAATATCTGAAAGGGCAGTTGTGTGTCATGGGATGACATAAACACCTACAGTGACCCGTTCGTAGAATTCATTGTACAATGAGACACCATCAACTTTACGAATGAGACATTGTAGGTGTCCGATGTCATCACATGACACCAATGCCATGGGAACGGTGGTGGTATTTAGAATGGCATATTCACATTTAAAATCATTTCATATACTTCGACAATTCGTTAATTAGAACTTTCTTGATAAATTGAAAACCGAATGAACGTGGAAATACATCATGTGTACACAGGGAGTACTTGTATAGTACCTCTTCCACTTTTCTTTTAAGTAAAAATTTCAAGTTCTAGTTACAGTCTTTTTTCACAGGAAATCAAAATTTATCAACTGGCACTTTCACTTTTCTTACCTTTTCATCCTCCCTCTGATTTTTCTGGTAAAAGCCTAACGGAATAACAGGAAGTAGCATCATTTTGGGGGGAGGTAAAAAAACCCCAATATTATCTTGATTGTTATTTAGTGGTCTGAAGGTATTCATCCATCATTTTCCTCAAAGCAACAAGCACTCAGAGCCTCAGGAGTTTGGGGTCTTTGGGAGAGGATAAGATTCACACATTCACTCCTCATATAGAATATTATTATTATTATACCCTTCTTCTTTTTTTATGTGTGTGGTCAAGAAAGGCACAGTTGTGGGCATGGTGGGTTTTGTTGTGCAGAGCTAGTGGGAAGGGGAGGGGGTGGTTTCTGGACACTGGGTTCCTGAAATCTGGGAGAGATGTCAAGTGTAGTGTGGTTCAGGAGGGATCTAAGGGTGGAAGACAACCCTGCTTTGGCTGCTGGGGTTAGGGCAGGGGCAGTTGTGGCAGTCTACATATGGGCTCCTGAAGAAGAAGGGCACTATTATCCTGGAAGGGTGTCAAGATGGTGGCTTAAGCAAAGCTTGGCTGATCTTGACTCCTCTTTGAGGAGCCTTGGGACTACCCTAATCACTAAGAGGTCCACTGATAGTGTCTCTTCTCTCCTTGAAGTTATCAAGTCTACTGGTGCCTCTCACCTTTTCTTCAATCACTTATATGGTTAGTTTCTGCTGCTGCTTTGGATCCTCTGTTTATGCTTTCTTCAATAAAGTTTGCCCCTTTTTTAAATTTAATCCAATCCCAGATGAGATTTCCATGGATTTTTCAACTCTTATATTGAACTAAGAGGTTTATTCATTCATATTTAGCTGACCGGTGCAACTGTGAAACTTTTTTTGACAGGGATTCTCTAGTTTTAGCATTTTAGGTAATGTGTCTGCACTTTGGTAAACAGGCATTAAGGAGTAGAGATTCTGTTTAAGTTAGAAAGTTTATCTTTGAAGTAAATATAGTACCTATTAAATATCGTATAAACTGCTTTGTAAAAGCACAAACAGGTAACTAACAATCTGTGTTTTCATTTATTACAGATCCATTGTCCCTTGTTAGGGATCACCGAGCAAAGGATATTTTAACTGCCCAAGGAGTGACCGTGCGATCCTTCAATGCCGACTTGCTTTATGAGCCTTGGGAAGTTGTTGATGGCGAAGGGCGCCCTTTCACAACCTTTGCAGGTTTCTGGGACAGGTGCCTTAACATGCCTTATGATCCAGAGGCTCCACTTCTCCCTCCCAAAAGGGTCATTTCTGGTGTGTGTTTTCCTCTGTACTCTTTTATGGCTCTCTTAAGTGAATTGAGCATTTGTGATTATATGTGTTTGGTCTATGCTTCTGCTTTTGAGCGAGGGTCGGTTGAAAATAGTCTCTCTACTTCCAAGTCGAGGTAAAGTCAATGTCCACACACCCTCCCCGAGATCTTACCCTTTTTTGTGGGAATTTAATGGATTTGTTGTTATTATTGCCTACGTTGAATGAATATGGACATACGTCATGTCTACGTTCATTCATTTCGTAATGTATAGAGAAAGTCATATAATGCTCGACCAAAAATGAACTGAGAGAGATGCATTTTTCCTCGTAGATTCTATCTTCCTTTGATCCCGACTTGCCTAGCATTTTTTTAAAAAATGGATTTAATGCTTTTGTATCACCCTCATTGTTTCATAGTAGGGGTAAGGTCTGCATGCACACGCCCTCTCGAGACCCTACTTTTGCGGGATTCTATCGTAGTATATGTTGTTATATATTTAATGCTCCAAAGTGCATTCTAGGTGATGTCTCGAGATGCCCTTCGGAAAACTTGGTGTTTGAAGACGAGTCCGAGAAAGGGAGCAACGCTCTTCTAGCGCGAGCATGGTCGCCGGGGTGGAGGAATGCCGACAAGGCGCTAACCGTTTTCCTAAACGGGGCGTTGATCGAGTACTCAAAGAACCGAAGGAAAGCCGACAGCGCAACGACCTCGTTCCTCTCCCCACACTTGCACTTTGGGGAAGTGAGTGTCCGGAAGGTGTTCCACCTCGTCCGCATGAAGCAAGTCCTATGGAGGAACGAGGGAAACCGCGGGGGAGAAGAGAGCGTCAACTTGTTCCTAGAGTCCATAGGGTTGCGGGAGTATTCAAGGTACATGAGCTTCAACCATCCCTATAGCCACGAAAGGCCACTTCTAGGACACTTGAGGCACTTCCCTTGGGTGATCAACGAGGAGTACTTTAAGGCGTGGAGGCAGGGGAGGACGGGGTACCCTTTGGTGGACGCGGGCATGAGGGAGATTTGGGCCACCGGGTGGTTGCACGACCGGATACGGGTCGTGGTGTCTAGCTTCTTTGTCAAGGTGTTGCAGCTCCCATGGAGGTGGGGGATGAAGTACTTTTGGGATACCCTTTTGGATGCTGATCTTGAGAGTGATGCTCTTGGTTGGCAATATATCTCCGGTTCCCTTCCTGATGGACGCGAATTGGACCGCATTGATAATCCCCAGGTTTGGTCCATTTCATATATGTGTGTGTGTATGTATATATATATACACACACACACATACACACACACACACACCCTCCCTCGAAAGGTTTCCTATTATGGGTTATGATGTTTCAACAGAAATTATTTTCAAAAGTTATATATCCCGGAGTATATATAAACTACATCACAAAATTTATACAAAACAAAATATGACAAAACTACATTGTTTTATAAATAGAGAACTGGTCAATTTTTGACCATGTTATTCACAGGAAATTCTTTTTGATATATAGAGAGTATATATGATCAGCTAGCTTGTTTGCTTATTTGGAGCTTATATATACATTTTTAAGTTCTTATGCTTTGACAGTTTGAAGGTTACAAATGCGACCCGAATGGGGAGTACGTGCGCCGCTGGCTTCCAGAACTTTCCAGGCTTCCCACGGAGTGGATACACCACCCGTGGGACGCCCCGGAATCCGTTCTGCAAGCAGCGGGCATCGAGCTCGGATCCAATTACCCCCTCCCGCTCGTCGGGATCGACGCTGCAAATACCCGACTGCAAGAGGCGGTGGCGACGATGTGGCAGCTTGAGGCCGCCTCGAGGGCAGCGGCCGAAAACGGCGTGGAGGAGGGACACGGCGACTCCGCCGAGTTCTCCCCCATTGCCTTCCCTCAAGACATGATGATGCACATGGAGACAACCGCCGATCCGCCGCCGCCGCCGCCAAGGAACAACAACAACAACAACAACAACAACCAGGCGGCGACTGCGACCCTAGTCGCCGGCGACTACACGGACCAGATGGTCCCCAGCATGACGTCTCTATCCCGAGATAGCTCGATGCACCTCTGGAATCGAGAGGAGGACAGCAGAGCAGAAGTCCCGAGAAACGACAACCGGACGGGCCAAAGGCGCCCCATGCCGCCGCCGCCAGCGCAACATCAGTGGAGGGATACCGAGGACTCCTCCACGGCCGATTCTTCCAATAGCAGCCGCGGTGTCGTTCCGGTGTGGTCCCCTCCGAGCAGTAATTACTCGGGGGGCGACGACACCGGCGCGGGCCCTGCTTTTCTGCAGAGGCCACTCCAACTGTTGAACAACTGGCAACGGCTGTCTCAGACAGGGTGATGTGGTGATGTATGAAGAAGATTGTAATGCCAAGATGATTTGCTTAGTTAATCTCGATGATGAAGAATTTTAATCCGAAAGCAGTGGTATATTATTCTACTAATATCTTGAAAATTTGAAACTCATCAAAAAAAAAAAAAATGGATGTGTAATAATTTCATGTTTTTGAATGAACGTAGCGGGTATATACCATGCATATAAACTAATGTTGATTAATGTTTGTAGTTTGTGCCTTTTCGTTACTTAAAAGTATTATTTCAAGGTGTTGTATCCAAACTCAGACCTAGTTCTAATTTGGGTTTAATTTATATGGGTTGGATTATTTTGATATAATTGTAGTACCATATTCGAATTTTTGTCGGGCGGGAACGACAAAGGCCAAATGAAGACGTGCGGAATGCGACACGGAACTAAGAATTTGTGAGACGGCAAGGTTGAGTGTCAATGGAGAACGATAAGTGTTTTTTGACTGATCCAGAGTATGTGAAAGATTTGCTGCGCCCCAACGAACTTACATAAATGACTAAATGAGTAGGTTTAACTAAGACATATAGGCATGTTGCAGAATAAACACCACACTGCGTTGTTCACAATAAAAAAAAATATGTGAAAATATGTGGTGTTCGCAATAAACACCACACTGTGTGTTTCTTTATCCAACTTTTTTTTGGACGGATGGAATATTTATTATGACGGTAAGTTTTGATATACTGAATACCCCGGAGTATATTTTTTCGACTTAATTTCCACTTTTTTTATTGCACAATTCGATACAAGACCCTGAATTTTACAATCGCACATGGCCCGATATATAATAGGGTTGGACTTGTTTAAAAAATTGGCAAGATATTAAAAAAAGATATAAATGGGCCTCATCTTTTGAGGCTACATGTAATCTTCACTCGGCCCACCCGAAAAGTGTACCATTTGCAAAATTGCACCTTTAATTTGCTGATTGGATTGGATCCGCTATGGGTTATGGTGATGGATTAAACTCGGCCCACAACAAAAGCAAGCCCTAAATCTCATCCTATAAATATGCCCATATGGCCGCTCCGATCCAAGAGGTGACTCGTCTTCTTCTTCGGGCGTAATTTGCAGGTTTATCATACGAATATCTTATGTCTATTTCTTTTGGCCTCTTCTTTCAGCTTCAAGGGCAGAAATCTCTTGTTGGCTTTGTTCTGGGGGCGGATACTAATTCGGGCAACTTGAGGGCCCACTGTGCAAAATCCGGATTTCATTCCTCATATTTTTCTGGTTCACCCTCATTTGCCCACAATTTTTCATATACATGATAAATAATCGATTCCCATCTGCATATAACTCAGTTTCTTATTTGAATTGAGATCGAAATATGTTTTGAAGTCGATTGCCGATTTTATTTCTTTCAATGACTTGAATTTCGCAATCGGAAGAACCGTTTTTTACTGAGAACCCTAGGAGAAGATTCTGAAGATGAAGGTAATTAATTGAAGGTTGAACGAATGGAGTGAAATCGAAATCAAAACAAAACTAGCTCTGAATAAGCTCCTTGGTATCAGGCGCGAAAGCAAGATGGGAAAAAAAATTAAAATTAAAAAAAGAAATGGAAGATGAAGATGCATGGTTAAAACTAGAACCATTTTTCCGGAGACTGCTCAGAAATCATATCTTTGGGTTCCTTTTCAAGAAAGGAAGGATACCAAAAACTTACTCCATCTTTTCGTTGTTGAATACTAAGTACTTTCTTTGTTTACAAATAAATTTTCCATTCATTTTTCACACAAAGTTAAATTTTTTTATTTTTGTTACTCATTTAATAAAAAAATGTAGTTATAATATTCTCGTCCCACTATGTTTGTCCACATCATCCAATATACTTTTTTAATTCATTTTATTTTTTAATTTATATATTAAAAAATTATACAAATTACTCTCTCCATCCCCTGTATTTGTCCACTTTCATTTTTGCACACCATTCAATGAACTTTTTTAATCCATTTTATCTTGTAATTTGTATATATTAAAAAATTATAAAAATTACTTGGTCCGTCCCTGAGTGTTTGTCCACTTTAAATTTTTTGAACTGTTCATCTAAGCACTTTGACTTATCAAATTCTTTCAATGTGTAAGCCTAAAAATAGTCATGTGTGATCTTGTTTGATTCGTCTTAACATATAGATTATTAATATATAATTTTTTAATATACAAATTACAAGATAAAATGGATTAAAGAAGTGCATTGGATGGTGTGTAAAAATGAAAGTGGACAAACACTCAGGGACGGAGGGAGTATATATTAATAATCTATATGTTAAAGACAAATCAAACAAGATCACACATGGCTATATTTAGGCTTACACATTGAGAGAATTTGATGAGTTAAAGTGCTTAGATGAACAGTTTCAAAAGTCAAATGTGAACAAATATGAGGGACGGAGGGAGTATATATTAATAATCTATGGAGTATAAGAGAATTTAATGAGAATTAAGAGAATTTAATGAGTCAAAGTACTTAGATTAACAGTTCCAAAAGTCAAATATGGACAAAGACAATAGGACGGAGGTAATAGTTTATATTACGTAATATATAATGTTTATTTTAAAATTTTACATCATTTTTTTATTTAAAATAATTTTACATAATTTTTTCATCATTTTTTGATGAACCAATCTATAATATTTTGAATATTCATTTTGAAGAGACTAAAAAGGTTTTTTCGAGAGTATTAATTTAAGGTTTGCTTAACAAAAAAAAGTTAAAATAAATTACAAATAGAATTTTTTATATGAGTAAATTTCTAAAAAACAATGAAGTATAGGAAAATGTGGGATTGGTCGAACAAAAAGGCAAATGTGTGATATACTCCGTATTTATGAAACTAAATGATTGTATTTCTTTTACTTTTTCATTAATAAATAAATCTCTTCTCCCTCGTAAAACTTTTTTCAGTTTGACCTTTGCGAAGTTTGAAAATAGAAAAATATGAATATAATTGGTTAAGAAGATAATCTGTGAAAGGTTTCTTAGTCACAAATTCTTTATAATAAAAGAAAAAATTAATTTAGTGTATTCTTCTAATTTTTTTAAATGAAACGAGTGAGTACTATTCTATATGTGCCACTATTTTTGATATGAAATACTCCCTCCGTTCTAAAACTTTTTTCGCAGAGCACTATTCCAACTTCATGGGAATTTATAATTATTTGTGTTTTTTCATGGCCTATATGATAAAATAAAATATTTTTGTCACCACTTGTTTTGTTGAACTTTTGATGTAGTTTTTAAATAGATATGTTTTATTTTTTATTTAAATACCAATATTTAAATAAAATAGATTGAAAAAACTTGGGATTTTTCTTTGTTTTGCGAACCGGGAAGAAAGTTTTAGGACGGAGGGAGTAGTAACATATAGATTCAGAAGTACCTCACCTCACATTAAGAGAATTTGATGAGTCAAAGTACTTAGATGAACAGTTCTAAAAGTCAAAACTGGACGAATACTTCGGGACGGATGGGTATGCATATGTTAAAAACCGTATTCCATATTTATTTTAAAAAATATATATATTACACGAAACTGAAAAAAGTAAAAAAAAATTTCTCCAATGAGTTACTACTTCCATCATAAAAAGACTACTATAGTTTGACTATTTGAACATGAGTTATGAAAAATATATACTCCGTATATAGTTATAATGTAAATTTTTTAAAAATTAGGCAATCTTTAAAATATAATTTTTATATTTCAAATTTTATAACATTTAATTATTTAAAATTATCTTTTCTAAAAAATTATTTAAAATTATACCTCCTCCGTTCACTCTCTTTGTCCACTTACCTTTTGGCACACCATCCAATGCACTTCTTTAATCCATTTTATCTTGTAATTTGTATATTAAAAAATTATAGAAATTATATATTAATAATCTATATGTTAAGACAAATCAGACAAGATCACACATGACTATATTTAGGCTTACACATTGAGAAAATTTGATGAGTCAAAGTGCTTAGATGAACAGTTCCAAAAGTCAAAAGTGGACAAAGAGAGTGGGACGGAGGTAGTATTTAATTTATAATTAAAATCTTACACAAACTAAAATTTTTTTTTGATACGAGAAGAATATAAAATATTCTAAAAAAATAGATAAAATTACGCTAACACGTCTTTCTACCGTCGCAAATCGCCGTTCTTCCATTTTCTCAATCAGGGTTTGTTTTCTCTTTTTCTACCCTTTTTCAGTTTTCGCTGCTTCAAATCACTAAGCGAGAGGACGAGCCGTCTTCAACGCGGTGAGAATAAATCTTCAACTGAGCTCCAAAAAAGCTTTCATTATTGAAATACTTAATCTTTTGCAGCACCTTCCATTGATTCGATCCAGTGTAAATTCTGAAGTTCTTAGATCCTTATCTATTTCATGGCTATGTGCGGGACATTACATTTGTTTGATTTCATTTTCCAGATTATCTCCATTTCCCAGTAGGGCTTGATTTGTGTATTCCCTTTCGCGCAATTGGAGTTTTCTGCTCACACTTTATACTCCGAGTGTATGATGGTGGTATGATGCTTTAGTTATGCTGTAGATTCTTCTATTTTGGTATTTTATTTTTGGGATTAGTGTGATTTCGTGAAATCTCTAATGCCATATTCGGTAGGGTCACAAACTTCTCAAAGATGAAGCTACCGAAGAAAAGGGCGAGAGAGCAAGAATGGTAAGATATTTGTATATTATTTACTTTTGACGAAAATGCTTGGGAAGATAGTGTGGAATAGTGATTTTTTAGATAAAAATAGATTATGATAATATGAAGGAGTTTTCTGTACCTTATGACTAGAGAAAATACGAAGTTATAGCAATAATAATAACAATAGTACTGATAATAATATTAATATTAATCTGTTTATCTTACACCAAGCTTCATTGGATGTATTGTTGAGTTCAGGCTTCCTTTGTGGGGGCAATGGCAATTGCCGACTTAGTGAAGACAACACTAGGGCCAAAAGGGATGGTAAGATATGTCTCCTATTTGTTTGGCCATCTTATTAAGTTTTTGCATGTGTTCAAGCATGTATTTAAGGCTTGGATTATTTGTTTTTTCAACAGGATAAAATTCTACAGTCAACTGGAAGGGGTCATAGTGTCACAGTTACAAATGATGGTGCTACAATCCTCAAGTCCATTCATATAGACAATCCTGCAGCTAAAGTTCTCGTTGGTATCCTTTGTATTGTTCAATTGTTAAAGTCATCAGCGATGATTAACAAATAACAGTGGACCCTTAAGCTTCTTTTTGCTTCACTAGTAACTGTTTGGACTTTGGATAGTGGATCCACTAGGAGTGTTTTACAATTAATGGGTGGTTTAATGTCGGATTCTATGGGGAAATAATAGAAGTAAGCAATTTACCTTATCAATGTTGTTGAATCTTAACACCCGTGTCAGACATCTCCAAGGTCCAAGATGATGAAGTAGGGGATGGTACTACATCAGTAGTTGTTTTGGCTGGTGAACTTTTAAAGGAAGCGGAGAAGCTCGTAAACTCAAAAATTCATCCAATGACAATTATTTCAGGTTTGTTTCATATCAAGTAATATTCATAGTTTCATATGTTCAGGACCTTTGGCTCATTATCTAATGTCAACACTCAACACTCTTGCACTCATATGCTATTTCTAGTTGACCATTATGCTTTGGTTTTATGGGATGTGTGTTTCTGTTGTAACCCCTTCAATTATGCTTTTGTTTTTAACCTTAGGGTTCCGCATGGCTGCTGAATGTGCACGCAATGCATTGTTAGAAAAGGTTGTCGACAACAAACATGATGCAGGTATGTATGATGCAGGTCATGTTATCATTCAAATAATGAAACATATTTAGGCCATTGCTTTATAAATCGTGTCTTGTTTGAAATCATTGTGGCATACCTCATGTAAATATCATAAACCTGACTAGAGTTAATAGGATTGCAATGAAGAGGGTGTTATGTCATATTTTGTCGTTTTTATGTTGTTGTGTAGTTTGTCTATTTTCATGACTGTTTTTTTGTGATACTTTGGGGAAATGTAGAGAAATTCAGGCTGGACTTGATGAAGATTGCAATGACTACGTTAAGTTCCAAGATTTTGTCTCAAGACAAGGAGCATTTTGCCACGTTGGCTGTTGATGCTGTCATGAGGTTGAAGGTATATTGCATCTTCATATGTTATATTCTTATTAAGTTGTGAGATTTTTGTTGCTCAATTTCAATCGCAGCATCCTACCTGTCCGTAAGATCCACATCTCATATCAAGTTTTTTCTGTTGATGAAATGATTATGTATGTGTAAGATTTAATTTTAGTCAGTTATTTTTTTCAGATGCAATAGGTACATAGCCTTTTTCTCTCTTATCCTTCAATGCTTCTCGTTGGTACAATTTGTTTATCGTTTATCTGTTTATGTCATATTTGATTATCTGTTGATTTTGCTGCAAAGTTAGTGTTATTATAAATTTCAATGTGTTGCCCGTTTGATTTATGTCTTTGACTTGTGTGTTTGATATGGCAGGGTAGCACCAATCTTGAGTCAATCCAGATTATTAAGAAGCCCGGCGGTTCACTTAAAGACTCGTTCTTAGATGAGGGGTAAGCAACCTAAGATTATTCGTCATCGTTGGTGAATGAATGATACTATTGTTTGCATGCACTTTAGCTGATATGGTTTTTAAATGAATCAATCATATTTTAGTACTGCTAACTAATTGCAAGTGAACTCATGATTCAATAGCTGTCAAGATCTATCTGCAAAGCCGTGAAATCTTTGGTGGTCTATGTCTGTCTAAATGATGATTCTTTTGTCCTCCTGTCTCTTTAGCCATTCTGCAAAAAATTAGGCCTCCTTTGTTAGAATAAGGTATCCATGTTGTAATTAAGACAGAGGTTGAGAAGGTATTGATTTAAGTATGTTATATTGAAATTGAGTATTTTATTTGTATGGAGGAATAACATTAGGATTTGGCTCTCCTATAAAGATGGAGGCATCTTTAGGCTAAAGGCCTAGTGGTTGTCTTCTTACTCTCATTAACGTAGCCTTCAAGCATCCCCTGATATGTTGATATGCTCATTAGTTGCATAATTTGAATTAGCTTTTTTAACTTTGCATAAAACTGTTCTAACTAAAGGTGTTGCATGTAGGTTTATCCTGGACAAAAAAATTGGAGTTGGTCAGCCTAAACGAATTGAGAATGCAAAGATCTTGGTGGCTAATACTGCAATGGATACTGATAAAGTAAAGATTTACGGTGCACGTGTTCGCGTTGACTCAATGGCTAAAGTTGCTGATCTAGAAACAGCTGAAAAGAACAAAATGAGGGAGAAGGTGGAAAAGATTATTGGTCACGGAATCAACTGTTTCGTTAACAGACAACTCATATATAATTTTCCAGAGGAACTTTTCGCCGATGCTGGGATTCTTGCTATAGAACATGCTGATTTTGATGGTATTGAACGCCTTGCATTGGTCACTGGTGGTGAGATTGCATCAACATTTGACAATCCAGAATCAGTTAAACTTGGCCACTGCAAACTTATTGAGGAAATCATGATTGGCGAGGATAAGCTAATTCATTTTTCTGGGGTTGAAATGGGCCAGGCATGTACAATTGTCTTGAGAGGTGCAAGGTACATAACAGTAAACCCTTCACAGTTTTATTCCATCTATATGCATAACTCCTTTTTGTATCACATGCCATCCTTTAGAAGGATTTAACGATGCTTTTTATGAAGACAGTTTTTCCTATCTATGAAACATTAATCCTTTTTTGAATTGTTTGCTCATAACAATTCACTCCATGTTTATTTTTAAAAAAAGTTTTCACTTGTCTGTCGCAATAAATAGAGATAAAATGGATTATCACAGTCTCTTCGTCCCAAATATTATATTTTTTAAAGGTTACTATGTCTGCCTAAAGAAACTAGAGGTGCTTTTATGATATTATAACATTCTTCTTCCCTATTGTCCTACACAGCCCTCATGTTCTGGATGAAGCTGAAAGATCCCTGCATGATGCCTTGTGCGTTCTGTCACAAACGGTGAATGATAGTCGGGTATTGCTTGGTGGTGGATGGCCGGAAATGGTGATGTCAAAGGCAGTAGATGAATTGGCTAAAAAGACTCCTGGGAAAAGATCTCTTGCCATTGAAGCTTTCTCACGGGCACTTTTGGCCATTCCAACAATCATTGCTGACAATGCCGGTTTGGACAGTGCAGAACTTGTTGCACAGCTTCGTGCTGCACATCACAGAGATGGGTGCACTTCCGGGATTGATGTCATCACCGGAACTGTGAGTAACTTTTTTTAAAATGCATTGTGTAAATCAAGTTTTCTTCGCAAACCAGATGCAGCTATTCTGTGAAAACTGAAATGGTCACTAGCACACTGGCAGTCTAGGACTCACCTTTAGATAGATGATAAAGTTTTGGATAATAGCCTGCTAATATCTACCCACACCCCAAGAACAATTTTTTTTTTTTGTTACAACAACCTTGTAAGTTTTGATGAGGTTGTTTTCAAAAGACAACCAGCTCAAGAAAGTCTGCAAAAAAAAAATTAGTTTTTTTAAAACTAATGAAGCTTATTATCCATTGAAGTTAAGTTCTCTAAAAAGATTTGATTAGGTGGGCATATGATAATATAATAAATTAAGACAAACAAATAATATACTTCACAACGTGGGTATGATTTATCCTTTACAGGGTTTTTCATTACCAAAAAACAGTAGATGTGCATTTGTCATGTATGACTTTCTTTTTTGGGAGGGAGGTAGTAATAATAATAGTAATAGTATTATTAATCCTAAATTCTAAAAGCTATATCAACAGTTTTCAATCTAATTCTACAGCTATCTACTTGAAAGAATGGAAGAGTATCATAGCCAACAAAACCTAACACTATGTTTGGTTCTAGAAATTTTGAAGGAAAAGAAAAGAAAATGATTTTCTCTCGTTTTTCTTCACCAACGTTTTGCCATCTCATTTTTCTTTTCCTTCCACTTTTCTTCTCTAGCCAAACAAGAAAAACTGTTTTTCCACTTCATCTTCTTTCCCTTGAACCAAACATATTGTTAGTTTCGCATGCCCTCCCACTTAACTCCCCACACTTGTTGGCAGGTTGGTGACATGGCTGAGCTGGGCATATCAGAGGCATTCAAAGTCAAGCAAGCTGTACTGCTCTCTGCAACCGAAGCTTCGGAGATGATTCTACGCGTGGACGAAATTATCACATGCGCACCTCGCCGCAGGGAAGACCGAATGTGAGTGGTCACAACTGGGAAATGCCTCTTCTGCTTTTTTTCCTTCTGTTGAGTCAGTTTTGTACTTTGTCTCTCGTGGTCTTGTATCAGCCTGCGACGTTTTATTAGAAGTCTGTGAATTGAATCTTCAAACTCCATTTGCTAGCATCTCCCTTTGGGAACTGTTCCAATGATTCCGTAACTGCCTGATGTGGTTTTCATCAAAATTTTCCCTCCGTAACTCAATATTGTACCTGTGGTTGCTTCTTAATCAGTTCAAGGTCCTGTTTGGCAATATGATTATTTGGTAGAGATTTACTTAATTTGCTGAAATGAGAAGCACGGCAAAATCTATTGGGCTCTGTTTGGCACACGAAATTCAAGTTATGGAAATGGATTTAGAGACTTCAATTCCAGTTCTGTTGTTTGGCAGCAGAAAAATATCTTGATTTGAATTGGTAGTGCAAAAAATGTGATTGGAATTGGAGAATTCAATTCCATAGAATTTTAATTCTAATTTAATTTCTATTCTGTCAATTTCGTGTGTCGAACAGACCCTTATCTAACAATATGCATATTTGAATAACTTTTATATAGTATTTTGTTTCAATTTTATAGAATTTTAATTCTAATTTAATTTCCATTCCGTCATTTCCGTGTATCGAAGGGACCTTTATCTAACAATATGCATATTAGAATAACTTTTATATAGTACGGAGTATTTTTTTTCAATTCTATAGAATTTTAATTCTAATTTAATTTTTGCTTGGTTAATTTTATATATCGAACAGACCCTTAGTCTATCGATATGCATATTAGAATATCTTTTATACAATATTTTTTTTTGTTGCGAAATGGGAACACCCCCTCGCCCACCCTCCCAAAAAAGAAAAAAATATCTTTAATAATCTTATTTTTCATGTTTTTTACCTTCCGTCCGGAAATAATCTTCCCGTTTCTCCTTTTTCCCCGTCCGGAAATAATCTTCTCATTTCTAATTTTACCCACAATCCTTCCAAAAATACCCTTCTCATTTACTCCCTCTACCAATCCCACTTTCCCATACCTGCACGCATGAAGGGCATGCCAAAAAGGGAAAGACCTGTGGGAGGCTTTAAATGGTGCTGATTTTCAATTTGAATGTCCTTGTTCTTAATTTTTTGGGCGGGTAGCTAAAAAAGAGGAGGGAAATCTAAAATTTTTGTGGAATGATTACTTTGTAAAAGTTGATTTGATGTATTGGAACCCATATCCCCTCCCCCATAATGTAAACAGTGTATTTAATTAATGAATCCCTTCTAGTCGGCCAACTTGTTCTTTCCTTTAGAAGTTTTTTTAGTAAGGGCAATTTAGCCATTTCACCCCATAAGTCAACCATTCAAAAAAATGATAAAAAGTCCAACCGGGAAGATTTTTCCCGGACGGAAGGAGTATAAAATAATTTTACTTTTCACTGTTACCAGAAATAATACATTTTTCCGTATGTGTGAGTTTTAGGCCATCGTTAAAAAGATAACGATCACCTAACAGAATTTTTAGAAAATGTATGTTTTTTACAAATAAATGAAAGCAAAGATTATTTTAGGTAAATTTACTTTATTTTTAAATTTAGTTTTAAAATTTATATTTTTGAAAATATAATAATGTTTTGTCTTAATTTTTTTTTAAAATATAATGATTTACAAATTTTGTTTTACATTCTGAGGGAAAATATAATATTAGAGATAGTTTTATATTCAGTTTCAAAATAAATTCATATCCTTTAAAGATATTTCAAAATAATTTTTACATTTCTCTCATATCTTATTAAGGAATAAAATACGAGTATTTATCTCCCAATTTTATTTCTTCCATTTATCAAATACTCCGTATCTAATAACTTACGGATAAAAAAAAAAAACTTACGGATCTATTTAATTCAAAAAAAAAAAGAAAGGAATGGAGAACTTCACCTTATTTTCGAAAAGAAGGGAGCGTTAAACGGTAAATTACTCCGTAGAACATAGTCAACATACAGTCCTACCGTTGTAATGCCGTAACTGCACGAACCGGCGCGCCTCCGCCCCATAGGAAAAAATGTTAGCCGTCCCGCCGCCACCGTTGCCGCACCTATCCGCCACCTCATCTTATCCCAAATATCCCCTCCGCCGCTCTGTGTGGACGAGACGGGCCGGTTTCGGCTTCTCAGACTCCCACCGCACACCTCCTTTGATAGCGGCGGCTGTACGGGAGGAGGATGGCTTTACCAAATACTCCAGTTACGTTTTCGACCTCAATCCTGCCGAGGAAGAAGCGCTTACAGAGTACGACATCGAGAAAATCAGTGCGATCTACCAGGACAAGCCGTTCCTTGTGTTGCGACGACTCTTCCACATAGTGTCTACGCTCGGCAAATGGTTCTCCCTCAGATACGCCGATACAATTACAGAACGAGTCGATGAGATGTTCAAGGTAAAATCTCACTTGATTTCCGAAAAAAATTAGATTGATTAAATTTTTTGTATTTAATTTTTTTTTGTTGCTAAAAATTAAGAAGTTGTCTATGCTTGAGGTACCTGCAATTTACTCTTTTCTGTACAGATAAGAGCTGAGGAACTGAGGAAGATACTAGTTCAGCTTGGTCCGGTAAATTTTCTGTCACTTTTATTTATACCTAAAAGTCTTATTTTCTTATTATGTATCATGTTTGTCCTAAGAATCAAAGGTTAAATTAGTTTTTTTTCTTATTCACCTCTGCATTATATTGATCTCGAGCAAGTCTGTAGAACCTAACTTTCAGGGGATATTATAAATTAAAATTCATCTGGTTTCTTAATTGCTGCATGGAGGAGGTGTGTGTGTGAGAGAGAGGAAACAAGGAATAACAAGGGAGAGAGTTTTATGTACCATCAATAGTTGATACACAAACTATGAGCTACCAACAAACTAATATCCAGATAACTAGCTATATTTACTGCTGTAGTCTGCTGATGAGGGTTGTGAAAGGAAAAAGGGTTTACGTGTTTCTTTTATGACATAGATTGTAAATAACAAAATATTCTCAATGCTATTTTGCACTTTGATTTGTGTTAAAAAACCAACTAATCCAAAAGTTCAAGCTTGTGGTTGAAGACCCAAGAAAGGTTTTATAATCTAACACGCCTTCACGGGCATACAAGATTTTGCACTTTGATTTGTGTTCAGAAATCAACTGAACCAAAAGCTCAAACTTTGTGGTTAAATGCCCAATAAATGTTTTATTATCTAACACGCTCCTTACATTCAGACATGATTTTTTTGCTAGAGCCATCCACGTGAACAATTTTTTTTAAAAGAAGTGGGTGACAACGATATTTGAACACATAACTTCTAGGTCACATATGTTTATAAGGATCCAACTCAAAGATTTATAAGTGTAGTTCTTAACCTTGTTTAGTATGTTTTACAGGCATATGTTAAAATTGCACAGGCTGTCTCGTCTCGGCCTGTAAGTAATCCTTTCCTCTTCTAGTTTCCTTTCCATGAAATCTTACAGAATACTTGATGCCTTTCCTATGTGTATACTTGTTGATTTACTGCTATAGGACAGTAGTTAAAATAACTTTTATTGGTTCAGAAACATATATTCGATTGATGATGAAACCTACTCAAAGCTCTGCATGGCAGCTTCACATCTAGATCTTAAGTTGACATTCAGCTATTAATTAATTGTTTCTTTAGGAACGCTTTTTGAAAATATATCTTGGAAGGTTTTGGAGTTATGATATAACAGAGACTACCTGGACACATGTCACATGACCCAGAGAAATCAGTTTTATTTTAGCCCCCAAAGATCAATTGAATCTTAATGTATCCCTAGAAAATATAAGATGGAAAAGGAACTATTCATTTTTTTTCTGTTACCCCATTGTATATTCAACCCCTCAAACCAATTTCTTGTCTTCCACTGCTCTCTAACAGACATTATAGTGATTGAGATCACCAAGAGAAATCTGGTATTATGATGTTTTTTCTTCAGTCAAGCTCATTGTTACTTTAGCTTTACAATCATACTGTTTGCTCTACCTCAAAAAGTTTAGCTCCTTTGACGGCGTAGCATGTATTCTTGTAAAGAATTCATTAAAATGTGCATCAATTAGCCGCACAAACTCTATTCTTTTTCTTTCTAGGATTTGATTCCCCCTTCATATTTGGATGAGCTCTCTTTGTTACAAGATCAAATAACTCCATTTCCCAATGAAGTTGCTTTTAGTACAATAGAGCAAGAGCTTGGATTGCCATTAGATGTACTTTTCTCTGAGATTTCACCAGAGCCTGTTGCAGCAGCATCACTTGGACAGGTGTGTTCTTTTTTGTTATGAATTTATGGGCTTAATGAGGTCCATTTTTTTAAAAAAAGATTGACTGTTACTTTGTTAGTCTTTCTATCTTATAAGTGATAACAAATGCAAATTCTTTTGGAAGGTTTACCAAGCTAGGCTTCGCTCTAATGGGCAAAAAGTTGCCGTCAAAGTGCAAAGGCCAGGAGTTCAAGCTGCAATCTCCTTGGATATTTTGATTTTAAGGTTTCTAGCAGGCCTAGTAAGGAAAGCGGGAAAGTTCAATACTGATCTTCAGGTATTGCTGATTTTTAAAATAAAATTCGCACTTGGGTTTACATGTAGATAAGTTGAAAAAAAGAGGTAATTTCTATCTCATTCCATGATGCGAATCTCAAATTATTTGCTTTAGAGATGTAGTACAGTTCCCGTCCTTGAAGGTCACTTTCCATTTATTAATGCCAGCCTTTGTTTCTAGTAAAATCACTTTTGCTACTTCTATATGCATACACACACGCCACACACACACACATCCACACAAACTTCACATCTCTTATTCTTCAATGTGCAGGCGGTTGTTGACGAGTGGGCATCAAGCCTTTTTTGGGTATGTAATCATTTCTATGCTATACCCACCCAGAGACCTCACTTGTACGTACGCGGTAGCCGCTAGGTTGTTGTTGTATTTGTTTATTTGCTAGAGTGGCTCATTGACCTCCGTGCCTTGAAGTTGGAAATCAGTTCTATGCTTATATTCATCATTAGTGATAAGGCACTATTTGAAAAGAAGATTCTCAAGTTTCTATTATCCTTGGTGCACATTCTGAAGAAGGGAAGATAGAAAAGCTCAAGCTTTGGTGAAACAACATTGGCCAATAAGTTTTGACTTCAGAACTATTATTTTCCTTAACTAACACAGTGAATGTATCCTCTTGATTAATGAGCAAAGCTTTTAAAGCGTGATATTTTTTCAATGTTGGGTGCATCTTGTTTTTGAAAGATAAATATAAACAGGGTTTCACTACCTCAATGGGAATTACATTGATGTTACTAACTCATTAATAGGTTAATGACCAGAAAAAAATCTCAAAATTTAAAGTGGGAAGCCTAAAATAGGGAGTAACTTATCATACAATTATTTTTTGGGTTTTGCTAAAAGGCAGCCCTTAGGGCTATTAAGAAGAAAAAAGGAGCCTGTCATTGGACGAAACCATGGACCCCACCCTCATTTAAAACTCGCTCTCTTTTTCTTCATGGCTCACTCTCTTTTTTCATTTTTTGGGGGGTTTTCTAAATGTTAAGGATCTTTATTTATTTGCTAACTCTGGTTAAACAATTTTTCTTTTATTATGTTCATTTGTTTGGATATGCTTGCTTGTCCCGATTCTCATGTCCAATAATCCTCACTCCAACACAACTATTTATCATTATATCAGAAATGAACATTCTTAGTGCCTTTATATTGAATACAGGCAATCCAATTGAATGCAGGAGATGGATTATAAGAGGGAAGCACGTAATGCAGTCAAATTCAGGTAAAAGACTACTGAATTTCTTTATATTTGTTTGCAATTATGCATTGCTTTCAACATACTGACTTTTTCCTGATATGTATTTAACACTTATAACTCACATGATATAGACAAGAATCCTGTTCTGAGAAAACAACTGGTTCCTTAACTCTCAGCTCAATTTAAATATACAATTATGGTGGACTTTGTATTAATAGAACTATTTTATAGAAGAATATCATATTGAGTGACCAGAATCCATTAGTTGGTTATTGAGGAAAAGAACATGTATATCGTCAATGACCATTTGTTCTGCCCAGTTGAATCCTACAAGAGTAGGGTCCGAGGCGGGTGTGTGTATGCGGACCTTACCCCTACTCAAAAGTAGGGAGGTTGTTTACAAGAGACCTCTGGCTCATGTAATGCACCACTTGTTCTGATTACCCCTTTGATGTATTTCTTACAACCTTCTAGCATATACTCCATCCATCTCACATTTAAGTTTCATGTTAAGATTATGGGCGTCCTTAAATAAAGTTTCATTCCTTATATGGAAAGAATATCATGGTTAATATTGTTTCACACTTCTCTGCATAAATCTCAACTTCATAATTTTACCCTATCTTAAATCCCGTGGAAAAGCAAATGGAAACTTAAATATGGGGCGTAGGTGGTATTAGACTTTTCTGAGATAGATATATGGCAGATTTAAATTGAGTGACCACAGCTTTCTTGCCTACATTATATGTGCGAATTATTGGGCACTGAGATAAATGGCTTATAATTTGGGTATAAATATTTATCTTTTTCCACTGCTTTGGAAGGTTTGTTTCTATGTTTTACCTGTAGTATTTTGTAATGCTGTTGAAACATTGTTGTTGTTGTGCTGTTGAAACATGATTTCCACCATAATGAAGTTTAGAGCCTTATTACTTTGGATTCGTGCATTTTTAAGTTGCTGGGAGTACTGCTCCTTTCCTCTAAGATGTCATAATACAGTGTAACCTCAGCCCAAGCTAATACTAAAATGATTTTTGAAGGGAATATTATCTTCTGAATGTAACTAGATGAGTAAAAGTTGTCATCAATAGAAGCTTCATGTCACAAATGATTGTAAGGTTTAAGCTTTCATAATATCAATTTCATGTTCACCCTATCATTTTCTGTTTGCCTATTTCTCAAGCATGTGCATTTGTTTAATATAATTTACCCACATCTTATAATGGCTAGCTGTTGCTTAATTTTTACTTAAACAGGCAGTTGTATGGTGACATTAAAGATGTTGTGGTTCCAGAAATGTATATGTCACAAACTACTCGTAAAGTTCTCACCATGCAATGGGTGGAGGTACTTTCACTTTCTTGCTGCTCTGTTTATGTTTATTGATTTATGATTGTATTTCATATTGAGTGAAAGTAACCAAAGAATGATCAGGTCAGTGCTTTCAGCGCAATTTGAACAATTTATGAACATTTAGTTTTCTATGCAAATATATGTTTCTTCGATTGAAAGACTATTTCGAACTAAATAACCTATGAATATAGTTAGGCTAAATGCTTGTTTTTAGAGACCATCAACTATCCACATATATTAGTTTGAAACATATACAAACAACTACTCAATCCGGCCCTTAAAAGTGTCAAATTTTTTATAACTTTTGTATGCCCCATAATATCTGTCAAGTCTGCTTTGAAATTACTTCATATCCCTATTTATTGCATTCTAGAAATTATGTTTTGCATGTTCCAACAATTATCAATAATTAATAGTCAATGAACTTTATTTACTCCCTCCTGCCCATAGAATTGATGACACTTTGACTTCACTGAGTTTAAGAAAGTTGTTGAAAAGGAAAGTGTGGTTAGAATTTGTTTAGAGGAAAGAGGAATGTTGATAGCCATATACTCATTACCAAAATAGGGAATAAAGTAAGTGTAAAGAATTTTATGGGACGTCCAAAAAAGGAAAGTAAAGAATTTTATGGGACTGAGGGAGTATGATGATTCCCTAAATTATTTGACGTTCTAACCAATTGTTTTTTGTTTCTAAAAGTTTGTCCATATTAATTCTCCCTACACCAAATGTGTTTTTCCCTTGAAAACAAATGAAATTATTGGATTGTATTTGACATTTAACATGAACAAGGATATAATGGTCATTTTGTTAGCGTTCTTAATATGTGTTGCAAATCTTGCAATCCTCGACTCCTCGTAAACATCAAACAGTTTGGGATGGAGGGTGTAGTCAACTTGAAAATCACCACACTTTATAACTTTTTTTTATGTACTTCGAGTTTTAAGGCAGTCTTTGAGGACATTATAATAATCATATGGGATTTGCCGGTTTCTTGGTAACCATCCATTGGATTATGTGTCTGTATTTAGTTCCACACACACACATTTGACACTTCTATTCACTGCTGCAATGAATGCTCTTGTTTGTCCACTGATTTTGGAAGTTGTATAATGGCTAGAATCTCACAAGCTATCCCTATTATGGCAGTATTTCATAAACCATGCTGATGTTAAACGAGTTATTTTCAGGGGACAAAGCTGGCTGAAATAAAGGATCTTTATTTGATTGAGGTCACATCTGGATCTCATTTGTCATATAAACTCAAAATTTCATATTTAGGCTGCTGTTATAGCTTCTGAACCAGATACCTACTGTTGGCCAAATTTGTATACAGGTTGGGGTGTACTGCTCATTCAATCAACTTTTGGAACATGGATTTTATCATGCAGATCCACATGCTGGAAACTTTCTTCGTACATATGATGGAAAGCTTGCCTACTTAGGTAGTTTCTTCAATTAGTATTCATGAGAAATGAATGCAGTTTTATCATGGTTTAGTGTGGACTACAGTTTTCCGTTTTGGTTTGCATCGAATCAAGAGTGCTTAGTATGGGATTTGTTCATAAGTTGGAATGGTAGGATTCCTAATGCATATACTAGTTTGAAAGCTTCAATTTATCTTTAAAAAGGGCAGGCTGAAATGAGTGTGTTTACCCAATCATGTTCAAATTTGGAGTATTTGGTTTGCAATCACATCATAGATAGGGTTCCTGGTCCCATTTTCTTTTATGGTTTATTCATTTGCAAAAACTTTCTAGAATCTACTGATTGTTTATACACACAGACACCAATAAACTTAACGATTACTGTTTTTAAAACACTAGACTTTGGAATGATGGGAGAATTTAAACAAGAGCTTCGCGATGGCTTCTTGGAAGCATGTCTCCATCTTGTAAATCGTGATTATGATGCACTCGCCAAGGACTTTGTCACTCTTGGGTAATATGTTTACCTCTCTCTTCAGTATCTGGTTAAGAGTGATTATTGCTGTCTGTATCATGTTTTAATGTTGATATTGACAGGCTTCTTCCACCAACAGTAGACAAGGATGCAGCTACAACGGCATTAACAGGTTTTTGCTTATGCGTCTGTTGTTTGTTAGTCCTATTTTAGCCAATTAGTTTTGCAGAAGAACAGTATCAATGAATTTCAATACAACTACTGAGAATTACATGCTACTAAATCTAGTGCCACCAACCCCAACTAGTTGGTATTAAGGTGCTGATAATAGTGATGAGGATCACGTGTATAGTTTGATTTGTATCTCTTATTTACTAACTTTTCTCTTCTCAATTTAGGTGTTTTCCGAGATGTTGTTGCAAAAGGAGTTCAGAATATAAGTTTCGGGGATTTTCTCAAAGATTTAGGAGTAAACATGTACAATTTCGCACAACTATAATTTAATGAATTTATATTGATAACTAAATTTATACAATTAATTGTCGTTATACATTTTATGACAATAACACTGACTACTTGGGAGTCAGGTGCTGATAATGATGATGATATATTTTTCATGCATAATCCAATGAACATGTCACATTTATTCTACGAGTATTCAACATAAATTTGTCAAACTGGAGCTTTTGGACACATAACATAGACACACAGTCTACATTGTGGATGACATCTATTCTCTCAACTCACACACATTAATAGTTTAATGAACACCTTCTTTATATTTCTATCACTGGAGGTTCATGGAAGTGACTCAAACACATACACAGATGAGACCTGATTTTTAATTTACATTCCAAAACATTATTAAAAAAAAGCATTAAAATATTTTATTTCGCTGATTGAATCTCTCAAACTAGTCAAATTCTGAGTCAATATTATATATCCTTTATTTGCAGGTACAAATTCAAATTCCGCATACCCCCGTATTTTTCTCTAGTAATTCGGAGGTATGCCTCTTATTCAAATTGTGAGCAAGCTAGCAATACACATATTGCATTTGCTATCATCAATGAATTCTTCAACTATTTAAAAATCAACATATTATACAACACACAAATGGTATTTTTCTTTTCTCTATTGGTGCTAGGGAGAGTAAAAAAAGTCACTTTAAAAAAATAGCTTTGGGTAAATAATGGACGCAATCGAAATGGCACATTAAACCTCCCGTGCTTCTTACTTTCTATGAAGTTGTGGGCAATAAAAGCATCATGGATATGACGGAAACAACCTCGCTATTTGTATAGGGTAATGTTGCATACATCTTGACCCCACCATCCCCAACAGAGTTAGGATTATAGTGGGTATGTTGTTTGTTTGTTTGTTGGCGTGAGGGGGAGGCGGGAGGGGTTGCAAATTGCAATAGAATATTCACTCTTCTGTGTTATGCAGCCTTGCTGTTTTGGAAGGGATTGCAATCAGCTACAACCCAAATTACAAAGTTTTAGGTAGTACATACCCTTGGATCGCCAGGAAAGTGCTGACTGACAGCTCATCTAAACTGAAATCTACTCTACAAGCCCTTCTATACAAGGTACATGCATTTCAGATAGATTTTGTGAAAGCAATGTTATCTAACTTTCCACATCATAATTCAATTTGCTACTTTTTTATTTAAGGATGGTAAATTCAGGATAGATCGTTTGGAGTCTCTCATTTCAGAGGTAAGGCTACACATTTACTCATAATTCTATATATTGCAACAACAATGCATTTGTTGCACCTCTACCTTGTCATATCAGACATCTTATTTATATCTGTTTACGGAAAGATTAATGACACACATGCTCTTGTGCATGCTAATCTTTATGTGCTCTAAGCCTTCGTTTTGTTCAGCTTGGTGGTGTGGTGTTGTGGGGAGCGAGTAGGGGAGGAAAACGAAGGATTTAAAAAGATTTCATGTTTGCTTCAATGATATAGTGAGGAGGATAAGAATATTGTATTTGATACTCCCCTTGGCCCACAAAAAACTTCATTATTTGACTTTATGGAGTTCAAAAAAGTGTTGAAAAGTAAAAATTATGTGGATACAATATATCTTTAGAAGAGAGAAGTCTTGTACACCACATATTCCTTACCTTTAAAGGAAAAGGAAAAGTGTGAAGCTTTTTTGGGTCATCCAAATAAGGAAAGTGTGAAGGTCTTTGTGGGATGGAGGGATTTTTTTTGTCTAATACAAAATGTGGTAATATATATGTAAAAGAGGGCGTTTGGTACTACTATTGGTGGCTGATTCTCAACTTCCACATTGGAAAGAAGCAATTTGATAATGTTTGCCCTTGTTTGTGATGCTTGATTCATAGTTTCCGACAAAGACCTAGACTAATAGAAGTAGAGGAAATCCCTTCCCCTCCAGGACATCCTTCTCAAACATACTTTAAACACTTTTTCTTAGAGTTCAAATTATATGCTCTTATTTTGAATCCCTCAGAGTTCAGTTATATGTACACATGTGCTAAGAAGTGTTTGTGAAAAGAATATGATGCATAGTGTCTGTTTTATTTGATTTGAATTACAGTCAAAGAATGTGATCCTTTTGCTTTCCTATCATACATGTGCTAAGAAGTGTTTGTGGAAAGAATATGATGCATAGTGTTTGTTTTACTTGATTTGAATTACAGTCGAAAAATGTGATCCTTTTACTTTCCTATCATATGTCCCACTCAACTTGTCAGGCAATTTAGAGATTTACTTGTCTTAAACAGTCCCTCCATGCCAGGACAGAGAGAACCCTCATTATGGAGCAAAGTGAAATCCATGAATCTAGGTTCTTTATCAAGCAAGTTCTTGCTTTTGTATTGGATACAAAGGTATCATACCTTGTAGTTGCTATGTGCTACTTCTGTTTATTGATTGTTATTTGTCTGGAATTCTATAAAATGCATTATTAAACCATCTGAACCTTTCAGGCTACATTCTTAAGAGAGTTACTTCTTGATGAGCTCGCCAAGGTATGCATTTCTTAGCTATAATGGATAATTTAACTCAAAGACAACTGTAATTCAAACTGTTATACCTGAAACATAATTTTCTCTACTCATTATTAGGGGTTGTATGCACTTGGACTTGCAAGTTTTGATTCAGTAACGACTGCTGTGTTAGCAAACCTACCCTTCTCTTCTTCCTATTCATTTTCTTCAATGACAGAAGAAGACAGTGTTAATCTTAGAAATTTGCAGCGACTTGTACTATTTCTACAAGGACTCAATAATGCGCCCGGCATGGTAAGATGCAGAAATATTTACTAAATATAATTAGCTGTCATTTTTGCCAGATTTCAGACTAATATTTGAATTTTCTTGTATATCAGTAAATATAAGTCCCTTTTATTGTACATCAAAAGGGAGTTACAATCCATAGAAAAAAGGTCATGAAGTTGAAAGGTAGAAGATGTATTTCAATTGTCAACCTAGACGTGTTTTCAGTTTTTACCATGAGTAAGCTCAATTCGTTTTACTTTTTGTATTAGCGAGTTGAATTAAATACGGAGTATGAAAGTTTAAAGGAGACTAAAAAAGTGCCTTGTCGAACAACTAATCAAATCACAAAGTGAAAATACGAGATCCATGTAATTAATTAATTTATTTTTCTGAAATCATTGTTTTTATATTAGTGTTGCTTGTTAGTAGTCACCAGTTGAGGTTTCTTTATGCCCATGTCTTATTGAAAGGCATTTATACGTTTTATCTGCATTAACTTCCACTAACCAATTTAAGGTCCTAATATGATGCATTTTGTATTGAAGTCTTATGCAACATTGAAATTTAGTGATTCCTCATGACTTACTCTTATAGAAGGTTTTTGGCTTCAACTTGTACTCTAACCAGGGGAAACCATCAAATGGAGCACCTTTTGCCTTTAGTCAGTTTAGGTCTGCTCAGGAACCGCTACAACTTCTTTCTGTCATCTCTGAGGTAAATATTAAAATGCATAATTTCAAATGACCAATCAGCTAGTTTTTTTTAAATATACTCCATTTGGCCCACCGAAGTCACTTTTGATTTTGGAAAAGAATATATAGCTCAAAATACTTCTCAACAAAAGGATATGTAGCTACTCTAAATAAATTCTAACCACTCACTTTCAACATCTTTTCAACAAATTTCTTAACTTTTGTGAAGTCAAAGTGGTAAAACTAGTTTGGGATGGAGGGAGTATTAAAGAACCAGGTCATCGGGGTATATGTTTCCTGCTTAATAATTTTTCAAGCCATATACCTACTCATTAACTTGGCCCTTTGCAGTGGCATGGTTACACATTTGTTGTGTGCATGCATATTATAATCAAATTGGTGTTTGCACCTCATGTTTTGCCCCGAACGTTTTACTTTGCATGTCTTGTGTTGGCCTTTGCACATCTTATTTACCCTAATGTTGGACTTCATTGCTCATGTTTTATTTTCTTTGAACATGCACCCTAGAGTGGGGGTGTAAAAATCCAACAAATGGGCTGCAAAATACAATAGAAACGGAGTGCATGTTCAAAGAAAATAAAACTTCGAGTGCAAAGTCTAAATTGTGAAAAAACGTAAGGTGCAAAGACGAATTTTCACATATTTTCAAGTAGACAAAGAACAAAACTATGTAAAAAGTTAGTTGAAAATTGTGGTGTAAAACCTAAGTCAAAATTGCGGCAAACTAAACGGGGTCACAGCCCACACGCCAGCTGTTGTTGATGGCAGCCTTGATGATTTGCCTCTGGGGTTTCTAAGCCAGAACTCCTCATGAGGAGAAATTGAAAATTTTGAGAATTGATCATTCATTCATGTTTTTTCGACAACTTTTTTTAAAAAATAATGATTTAGCAGCTCCCACAAGACATGCAACAACAGCTGCTGTTGAGTTTACCAGCCGATTTAACAGGAAGGGTGGCTTCACGTGTTGCTGCGAGGGCATTGCGTAGGATCTTCCTGTGAAGGAATACAATCACCATGTTTATGTTATTCTTCCTTGCATGTATCTACGACAAATTTGTGGATTGCCACCCCCATCTTCACTGCACTGTAAGTAAGTTGTAAGCAAAAAATTGACAAAACTAAGCCAATAGAACTGTGTTATTCATGGAACTCCAAGAGTGAATAGTGAGTGGATGATATCAGAATGGTTTGACACATTTAACTTCCTTTGCTTCTTTTATATGAAGTTTTGGTAGTACATGGAGCAATGTGTCAAGAACCTGATGGAAAGAGTGTAACCCACTACTCTCTTTGTTCCAGAATAAGGTTCTTGTTCACTATTCACATTATCATACTATATCTTCTTTCTTTACATATTTTCTTTGATCATTTGATAAGATAAAGTAATCAAATTACCACTTGTTTAATACCCAGTATTTTTTTTCATACTTGTAGTTTTTACATGTACAATTTTATTTTTTTTAATTTTATACCAATTTTTAAATATATTGAATTAAAAATAATTTCAATCAAATATTGTAATCCAAAATTGAAACCTTACGGGCATAGAGTACTAAGCATATGTTTGTGTGTGTTTTGATACCATATCCCAATATGTTCGTGGAGCAATATAGAAGGCTTGTTCTAGACTTCTAATACTCCGTATCACACTACGGGGTTGTTACTCTCAAGGTGGTTAAAAAGTCATTAAGACTACGTTTAGCATTAGTTTTAGAGTTTGACTTTGACGTTTTGAAAATGTTATTCGACAGTAGTTTTTAGTGTTATTGCTTTCTGTGTCAATTTGCACTATTAAAAAAAATATTCAAAACGCTAACATTAGTTTCAACGTTGTTTCCAAATGGATCCCAAGTGTTTGGTTGAGGTGATAATACAAGTATTAAATTACTTATAAGGGTCTGTATGAGGTGTTTATGAAGGGCATTTATGACAACATAAAAATAAATTGGAGCTAAGAGCATCCCCTACCAATCTACCATTCAGTTTCTACTCATCCATCCCTCTCTTGATAAAACAAGTCATTTGTAGCTTTGAAAAATATAGACATCTCGTATATACATCAAGAAAAATGGATGAATAACTTTATTTTTTGTATAAAAAAAGGCAATAGCCAATCCTAAATTTAAAAAAAATACAAATACAAATACAAAAACTTCACCAGTAATCTCTGCAAGAGCAAGATCCATCTCTGAACCTGTGAAACCGAGTCCTATCCCTAACAATGATCTCCCTCCCATACATCTTGGAAACCAGCTTCATCACAACATGACAATCCCCACAAATCCTTATATTCTTGTTCACGCTAATCCTCCTCCCTTCCCCGGTGCTAATCAACGCAAACGCCACAGCCAACTTCTCGCTGTGATAGGGCAACACATTCTCCTTCTCCTCCTCCTCTATGTCATGCAACACGTACTCTGTCTCCGGCGCGTACCCTAGCCGGCATATCCCCACCCAAATCTCACCAAGCTTCGCGTGTATGGTGTGCCACTCCGGGTGGTTCTTGTCTCCATTCACAAACTTGTGCATTGCGCCATTGATTTCGACATAGCTGAAGCCGGGCACTTTCTTGATGTCCCTGCTCTTCATTGCCTCTCTCACCCTTCCTACCTCTGGCCACTTCTTGTGCACGGCGTAGAGGTTCGAGAGCAGAACGTAATCCCCACAACTGTTCGATCCCATTTCGATGAGCTTGTTCGCTGCCTTCTCGGCCATGTCTAGAGCCTTGTGAGTCTTACATGCCCCTAGTAGTGTCTGCCACAGCACCACGTCTGGTGCCAGTGGCATGGACACTACTAGGTCGTACGCTTCGCCTAACCGACCGGATCTTCCCAACATGTCTACCATGCAACCGTAGTGCTTCACGTTCTTGCTCACTCCGTGTTTCTCCATTGATTCGTAGAGCCTCATGCCTTCCTCCACCATGCCGGCGTGGTTACACGCGCAAAGTGCCACAAGGTAGCTCACGCTGTCGGGGGTAATACGGGAATGAGGCATTTGCTTGAAGAGATCTAGGGCTTTGACTCCTTCGCCGTGCATTGCAAGAGCCATGATCATGGTGTTCCATGTCACTAGAGTCTTTGGGCATGTCATTTCGTCGAACACTTTGTGGGCTCTGTCCAGTAACCCACATTTCGCATACATATCGATGACTGCATTGCAGACGGAGGTGTTGGAATCAAGATTCTTGGTTCTGATGTAGTTGTGGACCCGTTCGCCTTCTTCGATTGCTCCCAGCTGTGAACAAGCAGATATGGCGCCGAGCACGGTTACATCATTGGGCTCAGTCTTGGCTTCCCTCATCTTCTTGAAAAGCTCCAGGGCTTCCATGGGCCGGTTCCCCTGAGCGAATCCAGCAATCAACACGTTCCAGCAAGCCACGTCTCTCAGCTCCATTTCGTCGAACACCTTGCGGGCGTGGCCCAACTCGCCGCACTTGGCGTACGCGTCCAGCAAGGTCGTGCGGAGCAGGACGTCGGAGCCGAACCCGAAACGGACGACGCCGGAGTGGATCTGGACCGCCTGCAGCAGGGCCAACGCGCGGGCGCACGCCTTGAGCGCGAAGGAGCACGTGAGCGCGTCGGGCCTGCAATGGGCCCGTAGCATCTGGGCGAAGCCCGCGACGGCGTCGATCGGGCGATCGCTCTGGGCGAGGCCGCGGATGACGGCGTTCCAGTCATTGGTGAGCGGAAAAGGTATGCGCCGGAAGATGGAGGTGGCGTAATGGAGGCTGCCGGCGGAGGAGACGGCGCAGAAGTCGAGGAATTTGGCGCGGGAAGGGTATAATTGGAAAAGTCCGGTGGTTGTAAGGTGGGCTTGGAGCTGTTTGATGTGGGAGAAATTGGTGCATTTGGTCAACAACGACTCTACATATGCATATGCCATGCCATGTCGCACCTTATCTTTGTTTTCTTCCCCCCATTAATATACCTTGGAGTAGACAGGAAAAGGGCCATTAAATCAAACTAGATCTATAAAAAATTAAATCAAATCGGGTGAATAAAAAACACTTTCCTAATGATTTACATAAATGTTCACATTATCGTTCCCACATTCCACACTAACATTTAGAGTGCTGCTACTAATCCTTGATATGGGAGCCTCATCGTTGGTTGAAAGAGTGTCGTTGTCAGAGCGCCGCCATGGGTTGTTGGAGCTCTGCTGCTGGAGTGCTGGTTGCCCGAGCTTCGTTATGGGTTGCCAAAACGCTGTCGGTCGTTGCTTCCACCATCATATTCCCATCGTTCACACTGCTATAGTCTTTATGGGTAATGTTCATTGGGAGTGAACTAGTCCATAAATGTTGAATTAATACAACATTCTGGTATTCTGGTGATAGATTGTGATGAGATTTAACCTAATAACTATGGTTGACAATATAGATTGGAATATAACACTTGTATCATTGTATTAGCTTTACTCAGCTTGGGTTATAATGAAAGAAAGCGTCTCCTATTTATAGTCTAATATTATTGTATATTTAGTATGTAATTCGCTCGCTACAATATCGAGCTAATTGACTAATCGTGCGTTAATCATGCACGAGAAATCAGTCGTCAATTACCCACGATCAGATTGTCATTCCCCATATCCTGCAATCTGATTAGTGGGCAGGCCTGCCACTTAATCATATTATTTGGCCCACCACACTTTACTCGTAGGTGTCAAGCCCCTTACTCTTCTTGGGTCATGGGAGTGGGACTCTTCGGGCCTTCCTGGCCCATCGATTGACCGGATATCCATTATATTGATAAAATGAAAGATTTATTGTGAGAGACAACAAAAAATATAGAAATAAAGAAAACATTGAATCCATAATAGATTTTAATACGGAGTATATTTTATTATCACAGTTCGTTTAGAATCTAAAAAACAAGAGTTATAACATGACTAGTTGATTATAAAACCAACTAAAATAATTACTCTGTATGGATTATAGAATAAGATCGAGCCTTTGTCGATTTGCCCCTCACTACCATTGACATGTTCATTGTTTATAAACTCTCTCTTTGCTTCGTTCGTTGTCTTGTTCAAGAGGGAGATGAAGTTCCTTCCATAGTCACATTACTGATTCTCCACATTCATTGGATATGTCGCAATCTAGTATGAACCTCTAGAGGGAAGGGGATAAGGGGACACGTCGGGTCAGGAAGCAAATATTGGTGATGAACGCTGATGCATTATATTTTTGAGTTAAATATATTTTTGGTCTGTGTAAAATTAGCAAGTTCTGTTTTTTATTCATCTAATTTTCTTAATTAAATCATCCTAGTAAAATTGTTATTTTTTCAAATAGTATTTTTTCAATTTAAATTTATATTTTGATCCCATTGCGATCTATACATTTTGTTTTTGTCTCTCTAAATTGTATTTGTGTTATTTATTTGTATTTAAATTTTTTAATACTTCCCACACGATTTTTTTTCCATTCAAAATAATTTTTTTAGAAAATTAATCAAATAACTACATTATTTTCATAATGCTATGACAATATTCCATATTTTTATAAATTTCATAAAATTAATCTAGGAATATTTCTTATGAAGTACCATGTACTCCCTCCGTCCCATAAAGTCAGTCCCGTTTCAAAAAAATTGCATCCCTTAAAGTTATTCTTTTTTTATTAAAATATCACTTTTATTCATTACTTTTTCATATCCTGCATATTACATTATACCTTTTTTCTAATAATCTACACATTACATTCTATTACATCAAGAATATGTTTAGGAAGTCAACACAAAATAATACATCATAATTTTATGACTTTAATCAAATTGTCACTATCTTTATTGGGACGGAAGGTGTACTTTTTTGGTATACTAGTATTTTGACACGTGCTATGCACGGGTTTAAATTATTTTATTGAAATGAATTTGTAATTTTTCTTTACTGTAACATTTTTCAAAAATCGAACAAAATAAAATATTGAACATAAAAGTTAAAATAATGATAAAACATATAACATTTTCTAATGATAATTTTAGTATATACATTGGAAAATTAATATGTCAAACTTTTAGCTAAATTAGAATAATATTGAAATTTTTGAGGTATACAATAATTTTGTATAATGTTATAACTTATACGGAGTAATATCTTGGTTACCATGATTCAATGTCATAGGATAACCCAAGATTCATACGATGTTCCATTCAAAAAATTTGTGGTTCCTACCCCCTAACCCCACCGGTAAACCCCCCCGGCCCGGCCGGAACATTCCCCTATAGCCCCGTCAATTACATACCACAAGATTTAGTTGATTTTGGAGTCAAAATTTGACTCCAAAGTCGACTAAATCTTGTGAAAGATCAATTTGTATAACATCAATACTAAATTAACCATTAGAGAATGCTGACTTGATAAAATATAATCCTATAAATGACAATGTTTGGCCTTAACTTTTAATTATAATCATAACGAACTATAAATATTTAAAAATTGTATTTTTTGAAACTTCAAGGGCAATCCTATATGAAACAAACATATAATTCACTTAGGTTGTGTAACATTCTCTACGACTTTGTTTCTAATATTAGAATTGCGTTGAAGAAATTTTTTTGCAATTTAACCTTACACTATTACATAATTCAAATGATTAGTCAGTGTTCCCAAATAACATAGTGAGTACATCTTTCTTCAAATTAAAATTATTTTGTGGCCTAAGATTCCTAAATATTTATTCTCATTCATGAATTCAACTTTTATACAATCGCCTTTGATGAGGAAAAAAAAGACCCCCCCACTCTCGCATTAGTTTAGATTAGAAAAAAAATGATTCATCTATCCGCATTAATATAATTCTTCTCTCTTGTATCGATTTTTAGAAAATTTGATTTTTTACCCCCTCGTATGAAAAAAAAATGGAAAGTCGAGCTTATAATTTAAAAACTACGATTCTTCTATCCCGCATCTTCATATTAATTTTGATTAGCAAAATAAATACTCTCACACATCAAAATGATTTTCCTCAATCACATTGATTAAAAAAAATACTATGTATAATTATTCTCTTCTTGCATTATTCAAAAAAAAATCGTTCATTAACAATACTATGATTCAAAAAACTCAATTTAAAATATCATTCAAAATCCAATTATTATACTCCCTTTGCATTAGTTAAAAAAATAAATATGAAAAATTATTGGTAATCTTATTATTCTAAATAAAAATTAACAAAAACATTTTATAGTTTTTTATAGATACATTTATTTTAATATTTGATTGTTTAAAAAAACTCTAGTCGTTTTCAGTATTTTAATACAAAGATTAAGATATATATTTTTGGTTTTTTATTGTAAATAATAAAAACTACCTTCATTTAAGCATGTCATAAACAAATATGAATTTTTACAGGTTAAGAAAATATCTTTTATTTAGGAAGGATATTTTATTTGTTCACTAAAAATTTTATTGTAAATGAATTGAAAAAATATAAATTATAAAATATATTCTAATTAAAGCGATGACCTTTATTCCATAATTAAATTAGCTCAATAATGCTAAAATTGTAAAGACTGTTTGTCTAGACATAATATGACGTGGCGACACATTTGATGTTGAATTGTACTCTACTTTTCAATTAAAAATATCATATCATAATAGATAATTGAAAACAATAAAATTTAATTTTAAAGCATAAATAATTGTCTATTTTAAGTTAGTAAGTCGCGTGTTACCCGAGTCTCATTTTGTACATAAAGGAAAAGATAAACAATTGTATATTTTTTCTAAATTTTTTGTGTTGATTATATTTATATATTTGGCTAATCTAAAAATATTATGTTTGTATGAAAATAGTTTTAAACATAAACTTATCATTATTAAAATTTTACTCTTTTTCTTTAAAAATTTACTTTTATAAATCTGCATTAAGTTAAAATTTACACTGAAAAAAATACGTAGTGTATTGTAAATTAACTAATCATCTATTTCTGTTCAATTTTTTCTTTTTTCTAAAAATTATTGTCAAGCTCGACAATAAATATTTTGATCTAGTTTTAAATACGAAGTATTATATTAAATGTATGTGAGATTGATATAGAGGTAAAATGAGTGTCTATATATCATTATAAGTTATGTTGTGACTTTTGAATAAAGAGAAACTTTTATTAGTTTTAAGTTCTGTAGTCAATATAAGTTTTGAAGGAATATCATATTTATTTTATATTAAATAAAGTTATTATAATAATAAGTAGATCAAAATATTATTACTAAATGCTAAGAGCTCTCATTTTTTTTAAAATTTTTTTAATTTACTTTAATTTTTCTATAAAAATTATTTAATTTCATTTTTAATTCTATTGACTGATTTTTAAGCTTAATTAGAATCCGAGCAAAACATTGTAGTAAAAATTTTGCCGTTTTTTTTAATTTTAGAAGAAACTTTTTATTTTTCCATTAACAATTTTATTTTATGCAATATTATGTTTATGTTTCACTAATTTTATTATGTTACATAATCTATGTTATTATATCATAAATTAGTAGAAGGTATCTTGAGTGAATGCTATTGATGACATGTCTATGTTAAAAAAAGTCCAGTCAGCATGCCAGATATTGTAATTCTAGAATTCCAACTCTTTTTTTTATATAAAGATTACGTGGCTTGCTGATGTGTTCCATTTTTTGCCAAATAGGCGTGCCAAATGTCGATTGAACCTGGTGCCCTAATTAGAACTATCTAGACTTTACATAGAAGAACCTCTCCCATCTCTTCATCAGTATATATCTTGACTCGCTGCGACGCAACCCATCGTTCTGCTCCAAAACCCTTCGACTCAAAAAAACTATCGAATTTCTTCTCTGTATCGCTAAGAACGCAGCATCCGACACGATGAGGTAATCTTCGTTTTCACGCACTTTTGCATCCCCTGCTATTTGCTCAATTGATGATTCGCCACTGTATTTGAATCTACGCGCTCTGATTGAAGCCAATTCGTCTGCGAATTGAGATCGTTTGCTGTGAAGATGAATTATCCTTTATTTTCTGTGTTTTTTATGAAAACCGATTGTAGTTCTAGGGTTTGAGGTTTATAGTCTT